TACAGTTGCTTTGACACAATCTGTATTGTTAAAAGCGCTATATAAATAAAGGTGACGAATTGACTGCAGGGACTTGTTTAGAGGGGAAGGCATTTGTAAGAGTAAGATCTGCAATACGAGTTTCTGCGGGTTCCCTTCAGTGGGTCCCCACAAAATACTGTCAGAATATGGCTCGTGTTATCACCTCTGTTTTTTTTAGCCACCAACAGGTGAGGAGGGTGTTTTACCTGCTAATATTCTAATCTCAAAATGTATTTTGCCTGTGGACCAAGGTGTAGTTCATGTCCCTATAGTAAAACTTGGAGACAGGGACCAGTGGCTTAGGACAAAAACTTTTCTTGGTCACTTGTATATGGTCAGCTTACATCCTCTACAGTCAAAAATCTGTGTGTTATATTAGACAGCAAACTTGTATTTTGAAAAGCATATGTCCCATGTTTCAAAGACAGCATTCTTCCATAAAGTTTCTTAATGATTTAGCTCCTACGTACTTAACTAGTCTTCTATCACGCTACAATCGAGATTTGCATCCCATGGTAACTAGGAATTTCACAAGCTTCAGTCTGGATCCAGAACACATGAGAAGAGATGATGCCAACCCCTCAGAGGACCTCAGATGATGCCAACCCTGAAACAACATACAGAACAGGGCTCTGAGACAGACTCATAGGCAGAAGAGGCCACTGGGGCAGATTCATGGACAGGAAAGGCCTCAGGAGCAGATTCATGGAAAGGAGAGGCCTCTTGAGCGCAGTGTACAGCCCACACGCTTAAAATGGCAACCGCCATTACAGTAAGGGCAGCAGAGGGCAACAGGATCTCTAGGACGGCTGGGCTTGAGAGCACTGATGTTATGGGGATGCCCGCAGCTCGCTCCGACATCAGAGGTGGGTCCATCACACTAGCAATCAGACCTTTCAGTCCAAGCCCAAGCTCCGCGTCCGACTCAGGCGTGGCGGCCACCTTGGCCGGTGACTCAGGCGTGGCGGCCACCTTGGCCGGGGACTCAGGCGTGGCGTGAGCATACTGTGAAATGGCGGCCATGATGGGATGAGACTCTGAAATGGTGGCCATGTTGAGAAGAATCTCTTGAGGTGCCGGCATGACATGAGCAACTCTGGCTTGGCAGATGTGACGTTGTAATATACCTGCACATACAACTGTCAATTTATATATTTTTATTCCTTATTTACTTGTTCTATTTTTTATTATCTGTGTTTTTTGTTCTGTCACTGTCATTCTGTTACACTGTGGAAGCTTCTGTCACGAAAACAAATTCCCCGTATGTGTAAACATACCTGACAATAAAGCTCATTCTGATTCTGATTCTGATTTATTTTGAAGATAATCATACAGTAGAAGTTGAAGATAAATAATACAAAGATATTCATACAGTAGCCTACTGTATGCTAGAGAAGTGTTCAAATGAATACAGTTTTGTGCAGGACTATCAGATGTAATTATTCTTGATGTGTAATTGTGTTTAATTTATAAAGTGACTTAGGCAGCACCTAAATTTTTATAGTTTCACTGGAAACTATTTAAAGGTTAGTTGTCAATAACTAACGCTAACAAAAATAATAAATACTGTTACAAATGTATTGTTCATTGTCAGTTCAAGTTAGTTAATATTCACTAATGTTAATGTGAGGCAAGGTGCACCAGGTAACATCTTGCCTAGGCCAACAAATTGGCCAGGGCCGGCCGGGTGAGCAAATTATGGGGTAATTTTCATTTTGGGGTGAACTATCCCTTTAGCCTACACTCGAATTAGGAAAATCATATGACATTCTTCAGAAATATCATTCATTTCTGTAGAGCTGTACTGTGAATAAGAATCAATTGACTGAGTTCAGCTTTGAGAAAGACACCAACCTGTTTGTTCCTCAGTATCTTCATGTTTGATGCTGAATACTTCTGCAATCCTAATGTCTTCACTCTCCTCTTTAATAAACGCCATCTGTATAATAGTGTGTCACGTGGATGTTTTTCTGTGAGTTTGGACAAGATGAGAATAATGAACAGAAAGAAAATAAATCCAAATGTGTCACGTGTCTAGATGCACTTTGCTAAAAAAAAAGTTAAAAAATGTTATACAAAGCATTACAATGTTACATTCAGTAATGAAACATACATTTAAGAGTTCTCGGTAGAAGCATAAAATTGCCTGAACAGTTTGGAACAATTCAAATGCTCAAAACACAAACCTTTCTTCAGCCAAATCACAAAAGAGCAAGAGCCAGGCACAGCCTTATGATGTCATATCTCCCCTCCAAAATAAAAGTCCCATTCTCACACTAAAATCAGACATATTCAAATACAAATAATAAAACATATCAAGGATGCTCAGAGTTAAATTCTTGGTGAAATACATATGGATGTTGTGCTAAAAAATAACTAGAAGTGAAAGAGTTTGAACTACATCTAATATGTGAGATTCTGTAAATGATTCAACACTATATATATATACTATATATATATATATAATTTATTTATGATTTGTTAAGATACATTCAGGGTGAAAAAAAACAACAAATAATAAAAATTAATAAATAAATAAAAAAAATAACAATGATAAAAGTGAAAGTAATAGCGGAAGTAGTTAAGTAAGTACATTCTCATCAGAAGATAATGAAAAATTAGGAGATACTGCGACAAAATATTAGGTGCACTTAAAACTGAATTATACAAATCAATACAAAAATGAAATTTACCAGCTGGAATGAAAAGGCCTTAATCAGAAAAACTAAGAGTTTGCAGAGTTTGTATGTAAGCTACAAAGGGCTTCCGAATTTTAGAGAATGGTGTACTCAGCCGGTGAAAGGAAAGTCTAATTTTTTCAAGTTTCTAATGTTTTTAATGAAATATAAGGTTATCCACCAAGAGTGTGAAGGGGGTTAGGGAATTTCCCAGTTAAGCAAAATTTGTCGTCTGGACAGCAATGTGAGGAAAGCAATAAAAGCAGCAAAATAGTGGGTGCAAAGAATAATTAGTAGGCAGGACACCAAATAGACCAATGATAGGAGAGGGTTGAGTATTAAACGAGGAAATAGCTGAAAGAGAATTGAAAACAGACAGAGGAGAGGGTATTATCTTCAGTATCATCTTCCGGCGCCGCCGTGAGTGACATTTATTATCATTATCATTTATCCTATGGATATGGATTTTTTTGTGTTTTTGATTATCATTTATCCTATGGATAAGGATTCTCACACGCCAAAACTCATTTATTCGAGAAATCAACTGCTTGCACTGAAAACAAAGTCCCATGCAGGTGTGATTCCCCATTTTACCTGACGAGGTGAGGAAGCCATGTCATGGCTGCAGAGCTGGCGCTAAGCTAAAGGCTAAGCGGCTAAGGAAGAAGTGGCGATACTAGCCCTACAGTACCTTCTGTGATCAAGGGGAATGTGAACTCTGCCGAACAAGATCGATGAAATGGCTGCACTGGTGAAAAGTGTCAAGATCTACAGAGAGTGCCGTTTGTTGTGCTTCTGTGAAACGTGGCTCACGACTAGCATCCTGGATGCTAACGTGGAGCTACCCAGCTTCAGCACGGTCAGGGCAGATAGAGACACTAAAGCTTGCGGGAAGCGGAGAGGAGGAGGACTCGCTATATATGTGAACACAAGGTGGTGTAATCATGGGAATGTGAGCATCAAAATATCCAGCTGCTACAGAGACATTAAACGTCTGGCCGTAAGTTTGCACCCCTATTACTTGATGTTACGACCCAAAACCAACTTCAGCTCGTTAAATCTAATCAGAGAGGCAAGGACCGAACATATAAGAAAATCACAGTTGACTGAATGAAGCTTTGATGACTATTTATGCCATAAGAATGAATCCAAATGCAAAACGAACAAACAGACAAAATGCTATCCACAAATATACTATAATGAACAAAAGATTAACACAAATAATAACAGTAAACAGATAATGCTGCTAGGAAAACAGAAAACCTTGACTACTCCTAACCACCTAGAGAGATCTTACCTAGCTCCTGGGGAAAATAAAGTAGGTGAGTCTTGTGGGCCACTGCTTACCTCGTTAGATCTAACTAAATAACAAAACGTGAACTAAGAAAAATGAATCCACAACCTGCTACTGAAAAGACAAACAAATATATTTAAAATAGATGTTGAAAATTAATGTCAAAAAGAAAAAAAACTATTAAAAATCAGAAAACAGGATCACTCCTGCAAGGAGAAGAGAGGAGATGAGCGATCTCGCCATGAGGCGAGAGACCCAAACAAACAGCGAAAGACGCCATCAAAGTTTATATAGTAGAAAATCCAGATGACGTCATTCCACTTTTGAGGATCAGGGAAATCCCTCCTCCCGATTCCACCTACAGGCTGAAATAAATAAATCACTCTTGTGATAACAGCACCCTGAAGTGCTTGTGTTAATCTCCGGGGACTTCAATCATGTGACTATGGATACATTTCCTGCTTTCTACCAGTATGTGGACTGTAACACCATGAGAAATAGGACTATTGATTTACTGTATGCAAACGTGAAGGATTTCCCCTGCACTGGGGAAAGCAGACCACAAACTTGGTTCAGCCTCTCTACAAACTAAGACTGAGGCACACTGGGAACATCGAGGAGGTTGTTGACTGCACTACTGACTTCATCAACTTCTGTATGGACACTGTTGTTCCAGTAAGAACTGTACGCTGCTATGCATACAATAAACCCTGGATTACGAGTGACACCAAGGGTCATCTGAACCAGAAGAAGAGGGCCTTTAAGGATGGATATCAGCAGGAGCTTAAGCGCGTGCAGAGGGAACTCAGAGTCCAGCTCAGGAAGGCAAAGGATCAGTACAAGAGAAAGCTGGAGCAGAAGTTGCAAAAAAACAGCATGAAGGACGTGTGGGATGGGATGAAGATGATCACCGGATGCAGCTCAAAGCAGAGGGACACCATTGAAGGAGAAGTGGGGAGAGTGAACCAGATGAACAAATTCTTCAACAGGTTTGACCACACCAACTCGTTAACACCTCAGAACACTGCACCCCACATACCCTCAAGGAGAAGAGAGGAGATGAGCGATCTCGCCATGAGGCGAGAGACCCAAACAAACAGCGAAAGACGCCATCAAAGTTTATATAGTAGAAAATCCAGATGACGTCATTCCACTTTTGAGGATCAGGGAAATCCCTCCTCCCGATTCCACCTACAGGCTGAAATAAATAAATCACTCACGGGGAAATTTCTCTACCTGCATACCCACGTTACACTTGCCCAGAGAGTTCAGACACGCCATTGTTGTCATTGTTTACATCCGTCCACACGCCGATGTGGAGGTAGCATGTGACGTCATCTATTCTGATGTTGCAAAGTTACAAACACAGCACCCCAAAGCGCTTGTGTTAATCTCCGGGGACTTTAATCATATGGATACAACATTTCCTGCTTTCTATCAGTATGTGGACTGTAACACCAGGGGAAATAGGACTATTGATTTACTCTATGCAAACGTGAAGGATGCATACAGCACCACCCTGCACTAGGAAAAGCAGACCACAAACTTGCTTCAGCAACAACAAATATATGCTCATTCAGGAAGTGGTCTCCTGAGGCAGAGCAGGCTCTGAGAGTTTGCTTCTGAACTACAGACTGGGATGTACTGCAGGGGTCGCACAGTGGGAACATCGAGGAGGTTGTTGACTGCACTACTGACTTCATCAACTTCTGTATGGACACTGTTGTTCCAGTAAGAACTGTACGCTGCTATGCATACAATAAACCCTGGATTACGAGTGACACCAAGGGTCATCTGAACCAGAAGAAGAGGGCCTTTAAGGATGGATATCAGCAGGAGCTTAAGCGCGTGCAGAGGGAACTCAGAGTCCAGCTCAGGAAGGCAAAGGATCAGTACAAGAGAAAGCTGGAGCAGAAGTTGCAAAAAAACAGCATGAAGGATGTGTGGGATGGGATGAAGATGATCACCGGATGCAGCTCAAAGCAGAGGGACACCATTGAAGGAGAAGTGGGGAGAGTGAACCAGATGAACAAATTCTTCAACAGGTTTGACCACCCCAACTCGTTAACACCTCAGAACACTGCACCCCACATACCCTCCTTTGCTCTATTTGTCCCCGCTGGAGGAAACTACAGCACAGAGGAGATTGTTCCCCCACCCATGATCACAGCAGCCCAGGTGTGCGGAGAGCTGAGGAGGCTTCGTCCAAGCAAAACAGCTGGTTTAAATGGAGTATCCACGACTACTGAAGGCCTGTGCATTTGAGCTGGGCGATCTTCTACAGCGCATCTTCAACCTAAGCCTAGAACAGGACAGGGTCCCTTGGCTGTAGAAAACATCGTGCATCATCCCAGTCCCAAACAAACCATGCCCTGGAGAGCAGAATGCTTCAACCAGTCACCCTGAGCTGCCCTGACAGGCAGTCCTCAGTACGTGCAACTGGGGGAATGCAGGACTGACACTGTGGTCAGCAGTACGGGAGCGCTGCAAGGGACTGTACTCTGCCTGGTCCTGTTCACCCTATACACGTCGGACTTCCAATATCGGAGTCCTTTCACATGCAAAAGTTGATGGATGACACTGCGATAGTGGGCTGTATGAGGAATGGACAGGAGGAGGAGTACAGGAAACTGATCCTCGGATGCTCTGTGTAGGAGAGGACAGAGCTGCTTGTACTTCCTCAAAAGTCAATGCTGACATTCCTCACTGTTCTGGACCATACTACATACTACTCACTATGTACCCTTCACTATGTTTTGCACAGGACTCTTTTTACAAACAATTTACACAGGACTTACATTTAAATGTATTACCTATAAATTGTTTAGTATGTTTTGCATGCCTTTGTTATTATATACCTCATTGTGCCTAAGTTTGTGGATACTGTTGGAATTTGTGAATGAATTTCCCACTGGGATGACTAAAGTTTCTATCTATCTATTGTTACGTCCCTATGTGACGCTGACTTGTCGTTTGAGTATTTTCTTGTTTTTGTGTTCTTTTGCTTGAGTTTTTCCCCGTCGCGTTCTGTCTATCCCTTTTACTTTCACTTTTGCAGGTGACGTGCGGATTGGTCGGCTCACTTGTCAATCATTCGGGACGCGCTGCTTGGGTCTGATGACGGGAGGGGGTTGTTCTTCCATCGCGCTCGCTGATTGACATCCACCTGTGCTATATAAGGGAAACGCCAGTGTACGCGAGGGCTGGCTTTGTGAACTTGGGCTGTGATATTCTTTTTGTGTGTTTTTGTTTGTTTGGTTTAGTGTGTGATGT